TTACGTACAGAAAACAATGAGAAATAAATATAACTGACTAATTTTAATGATAAATGAACATACATACCTTTATTGAAGATTCTTATTGGTGAGTAGTATTTATTTGTAGTCCCAGAGAGACTACATTCCAGGCATATAGCTACATACACTGCAGCCTACAGCCATATTACCATCGACATACCATGGTCACTGAGCTTAATCGTTCCTAACTACCTTTAGATGTCATCAGAATTGGTGCCGAGAATTGTAAACGAAAGCCTTGTGTACTATTAAGGGCGGTTGGTTACTGTGTCAACGCAGATTCATGCATATTTGCTCTGATGCTGGACCAGAGAAAAACGTAGTGTTTACCCTCCACTGACCCCTCAATAGCATATAAAGATTGCATGTTTATATGCTATGTAATGTGTTTCTTATACAGTGGAACCCCAAGTTTTGTCAGCCCAGAGTATTGTACGCTTCAAGTTTAGAACCGATTTTTCTGCTAAATTTTGTTCCGAGTTTCACACTGTGCCCCGTGTTTCATCCCGCGTACCAGATCTGTCCACCTGCCGATGCCTGCACGCCTCCACACACAGGCCTCGTGAGTCAGTCTGGCTGCTTGTTTATCTTTTAGTGAACATTACTCTGCACGCTCATCCAAACATTTCACAATTAATTCATTGTGTTTGGTGCTTGTTTATTGAGTGCAACTGTGAAATAAGTCACCATGTACCCAAAGAAAATTCCTAGTGGCACCTCTTTGGTAAAGAAAGTGAGAAACACTATAGAAGTGAAGAAAGAAATAGTAGTAAGTAACCCCAGATAAGGACTTGTTACCTAAAGTTTTTATGGAAGGGGATTCCCCTTCCAAACAATAAGTGCTCCCTCACTCCTTCCTATCTTCTGGATGCCAGCAACAATCTTCATTAAAGGTAAGTAAATGTTATTTTAAATGTTTATTTAAATGTTAATTTATCTATTGTATTAATAATTTAAGTACATACTAGTATCTGTATTTATCTGTGTTTTGTGTATGTAAAACTAGTTATTCTTTAAAAAATGTATTTTTTGTGAATATTTTTGTGGGTCTGGAATGGATTAATTGGATTTACATTATTTCTTATGGGAAATATTGCTTCGATTTTAGGACGTTTCGACTTTAGTCCTAGCTCCTGGAACAGATTAAGGACAAAACTCGGGGTTCCACTGTAGTATAATTTTGAAGAAAATATCATAGATGGATTAATGAAAATGTCTATATTAACCTAAAATAAGACACTTAATGTGCCCAAGAGTGAGTCACGAACGTATGAGCGGCCCAGGTGGACGCGTCTGGTACCATCAATTTCCGAACTGATGTATAAAACCCTATGGGGGGGATTTTGCCGAAAAAGTGCTCAAAATCCGAATTGTACGATTTCCACACCGGCCGAAAAATGGGGTCCACTGTATTCCTAGACTACCATCACAGGAATCATTTGCTTATATGAAAACAAAAATGAGAAATACATGAAGATGATACATTGACAAATATTCATTCTATATGCTGTATCTACTGACTCGAAATCATAATAACATGATTGCAAACGAAACACGGAATGGGAAGGTTTGATTCCATGGCGAGTGAGTTGTAAATCACCAGGTCAGTGCGTAAGTCACTCAGCCAGCTGGCTATGATAAGATTCATCCAACTAGCTATATACCTGGCCCAGTGGCTTATGCACTGGCCTGGAGTTTTACAACTCACCATGGGTTCAAACTCCACCTGTTCCATGGTTTGTCTATCTACTGTTTCATTGGTGCAAATGCTGTGTTTATGGTGATATGATTGAAGGCTATTCCGGTACACCAGATTCTTTCAAGTAATTTGATAACTTCTCCTATTTGATGGTAGCTGTCAGTAAGTTTAGCATATCTTTCCTGAAGAACTGCTAGGTATATTGCTGTGCACTTCCTGTAGTTAGCTGCTCTGGGACACCTAGCATGTGGTCGAGTCCCCTCACATACTTTTTTTTTATTTTACATCAAGACTTTTTAATTGCTTCATTTTCAAATGTAGTGATGATACTACATCATAGTGACACGTGCTGAGGAAAATCCTTTCTTCCTGACACTTGTATATAACCCTTTCACTGTTGGGACCCCTGATATCAAGTGCTGACACTGTCAGGATTTAAAAAAAAAATATCTTCTGGAATGGTAGAGAATCTTTTTCTGAAGGTACTTACACTAAAAATACAAAAATTTTGGTGTAAGTTCTTTTGAGTCCTTTTTTTTAAAGCTCAGTTTGACCAAATCCTTAGCTATGTCTGTTTTGTTAATTGAGCACAAGAAGCAGCCTATTAAACTATCAAAATTTCCCTATAACATGCACAAAAGTCAGTAATTTGGAATATTTTACACAAAATTCAACAAATTCCAGTTTAAAAAAAAATGCAAAATAAACTATATGCATTTCCGCAACTAAAGCAACCTATCCTCTAATTACTAATCATGTCCCCAAGCTTCTCCTATATTACACCTTCCCTCCATTTTGTGTCCATTATCACACAAAAATCAATTGAAGTTTTGTCCTATTTCTTGGATAATAAAATATAACCAGGAATGATTGATCATGGTTTTGGGTGTCCTAATAATTGTATCAGACCTAGTAAAATCCCATACAACAGACTGGGGGGGGGGGGTGTAGGGACCCCTTACCTTTCCTTGGGAAAATTGGCAAAATTCGAATACTTTTGCTACTTTGAATCTTATTTCAAGCTACTTCTGGGCTTGTTTCAGTAGCATCTCTTACATTCTGTCAGTTGTGTTAAGAAAGAGCTAATAAACCATAAAAACCATCCTTGAAAACACCTCAAGGTCACTGTTTTAAACTAAATGTAAGATCAGAGGTTGCTTTTCCCATTGTGTGCCACAAATAGGCAGGATTTTTGTATCCTGTGCGCACTCACTGCACAGACATATTCTCTCGTGTCTGCCAAAATTTACCGCTCACAGCCCAAAAAATTTGAGGGCTTTGTGCTTGAAACATAAATCTACTTGAGTGACATTGGCATCCATAATGTACATCTACATAAGAGACATTGAAAAGTTTAAGGAAGGGACTCTTGACTCTTGTGTGTTAAGTCATGAATTGACTTTCTTTCCTGGCCATGTGTAGTATACATGTTATTAATTCCTGAATGCTCACATGTTGATGAGATCCTTTTATTTAATTATCAATCTGGGACAGTCAGAGGGATTAGATCAGGTTCCCCAGTTCAGTATGAGGTCTTTGATGCCTTCCTTCATTGCTGTAAGTAGATTCTCAAGCATCACCAGGCTTTGTGGTATAGAAAACCTTTTTATTTCACCACAGGTAAGTATTATATTGAAATGCATAAGTGGATCCAAAGAAAAGCTTATGGGGTCTCCTATATCTACGGAGAATACTCTAAAGCAAAATTTTATATTTGGGTTTGAATTTGAGTTGTGAGCACTGCCTTAAAAGTTTACATGGCTGTACTGTACAGAGTGGAAATCAGGACTTGTAGCACTGTCAAGTTATATTTATGTGAGTGGGAGACCAAGTGTATTCTGGGGCATTGTTGGGCCTTTTGTGGCAAAGGTAAGTGTTATGTTCACATTCTTAAGTGGTTCCACAGAAAAGTCCAAGTTATGAGTATACTATATTTAAAAAATATTCTAGGCTTGGTTATCAATTTGACATAGTGCTGCTCCAAAAGTCCACATGACCTTTGATATACCTTTGACGAGTTCTGAGAGGTTTTTCTACTCCCAGAGTCTGGCCGTGGGTCAGGCTCATGTGGTGCTTGCCTGATCAACCAAGCTGTTGCTGTTGATGTGCCACTGACCCATATATCCATTACAGCCTGGTTGATCTGTGTTTCTTTATATGTGGCTCTTATGTTGTTAAAGTTGAAATTGATAAGACAGTTGAATCAAAGAAAAGCACATGGAATTAACTAAATTCATTGAGCATATGTTTTTAAAGAATTTTAATATTGTTTTTGATTTTGAGATGTAAACAACAAACCAGAAATTAACACTGCTACATTACCTTTAATATGGCTGTAATGGAATTAATATTGAAATAAAAAACAATAGTGCATTGTAAAAGCAAGTATATTTATACTTTGAGTGATGTAGATGCAGTTGCTAGTGAGTTATTTAAGTCACCTGTTAATATAAATTATGTGAGATTACTCCACATGTGTAAATTGTTTGCATGTTTCTTTTATCTTAAGCAAACTAATGTTGCATAATTAAGCAATTGCTATGTTCTTACAGTTAATTTGGATGGCATTTTACTAAACAAGTTAGGCTAACTGAAAATTCTTAGAATTAGGGATTACCAACATTGTCACACTGAGAGAATAATCTTGCATCATTATATACACTATACTGAGCTGTTCATGAGATTTTCTGGGATGAGACAAATTCACAATATCTTTAAAGTCGTGTGTATTGTAGGCGATACAAGCACAGTGTACATTGCGAGCAGAGCATTTTTTCCCTGCTACTGTCTTAGGTCTTTGTTGTTAAGGCTATAGATCTTGTGAAGTATAAATATTAAACTAAATTATGAATACTGTAGTGTAAAACAATAACTTACAATTATGCAGTTAATATTATAAGGTTGAGTTGGCAGGTGATCATGTAAAGCAGATAAGTTTAATTATCTGCAGACATGATCCACATGTCTTCTGACAGATGTATCTGATATTTTCTGATCACCGTTTTTATTTCTTTTCATGAGGTTAACAGTAGTTTCATGGTTAAACTGCTCTTAGATGTTATCCAGATTTGTTTTTATAAGCTTCTAATTTCAGTATGTATAGATAAAAAAAATTACTGAGTATTGTTTGCACTTAGCAGAGATTTAGGTAATAGCTGCAGAAATTTGATGATTATTATTGGTGTCTGTGGTGACAAGTATCCAGAGACAACATAAGTGATGATTTAACTGTAGCTGTGATAGCCTTAGATTACCAAGAGTGCTCCTCCCCCTCCCTCAGAGCCATCCCCTTCCTCGATGAGCGAGCCGGGCCAGAGTCCCCGGCCCCGTGGTGACCCGGCCGAGTGGACCGTTGAGGAAGTCATCACACACATTGCCAACACTGACCCCGCACTAGCCACCCATGCTGATCTGTTCAGACGACACGTTAGTTAGCCGTGCTGTTTTCTTAAATCTTTATTTTATTTTTTTATTCTAGAAAAGTAAGAATTTTATGATTAAGTAGCATGCCAGTAAGGATTTAAAAAAAAAAAGTAAGAGCTAGTAGATATAGGAAATGTCCATGGGCTTATTAAAGAAGCATGACCATGAGAGACTTTAAATGTCTGATGTGAATGATTCTGTAGAAGTTTTGCTGCATGTTGGATGAAACTTAGTTTATCCATCCAAATTATTTATTCTGCTTTCTATTATTAAGCAGGGTGACATATACCAAGTCTCCTCTTTGCTAGCTTGTACTTGCACTACATTGTTCATTTCTCTGTACTGTACTCTTACTGTACATCCTTGCCAGTTTATATCTGCACTACATTCATTGCTCTCTACTGCACTCATCCTGTACATTTGCCATCCTGTACCTGCACTACATTCTTCACTGCTCTTTACTGTGTATCTTTGCACACATTATTCCTACCTTCCTAATTTTCCCTCTTTCTACTTTATAATTTCACCTCTAATGTTCATCCCTTTACTGGTAAGAATTCCATAATATATTCCTACAATCACCCATTTTTCTCTTGCATCTTTCTTCATTGCTGAGTCAAATATTCTCACTCAAAGTCCAAAATTAAAAACTAAGTATTCATTACTGAGGTGTTTGCCCTGTCATACAAGATATCCCTACTTACATATGACTCCTTTGCAACAGAAAGTTAAGTGAGCTGTGTAATGCAACTTGCATTTTATCCTTAAATCTTATGAGAAGTTTCTGGTGTCTTCATATCTAATCATAAAACTGCACCATTTAAGAGATACTCACTTCCTAAGTGTACCTCACACTTGATTATCCCTTTAAAAGCCATTACAGCATCACTGTTTTCACCTCAAAAATATTTGCATTTTCCTTTTTACACTTGTTTTATGCCCCTATAATGTGAGACAATTTCCTTTTTTTCTGTTGCTAAAGACATTAACCAGATATTTTGCATATCCATCTTCATATCATTTATTCAGTGATGTTTTCTTCATCAACCAGTAAATGCATCATGTTCAATATATATACAGTAGTTTTCATTTAGTCATTCATTCCCAGCTATTGTGTGTTTCTTGAATTTGCATGCACAGTATATCATCATATTTCTCTTGATACCTCTTCATTTACTATCTAGTATCTTTATTTTTACATTTTGTCACACTTTCTTTTCAATAGCAACTTCACCTTGAATATTCTTATTAATCTCTAAGTCTTCCTCCTCCAGCTTAAATAAAGCTGATTTGACATTGTACAGTGGTAAACAGGAGCATGGAATTTTAAGTAAACTGATGAAAATTTAAAACTTTAGAAGGTAAGATAATGTTAGTACAGTATAAGAAATATGAAATTTTTATGCACAAAGTGAGACTATTGGCACTGTAGTAGGTAAATTTTGTGGAAGAAAATAGTAATAATCTGTTAATGTATACATAGTGACAGCTGTAGTCCTGTATTTGATAAGCTAATATTATTCATGTAGAGAAAAATGTATGCAAGAAAAAAGTTTGCTTGTTACAAAGTATAAGAGATATAAGAGGCAAGAAAATGAATGTTTATGTGGTGTTTTTAGCAGTAATTTAAAAACAAGTATTAGAGCATTTTTGATGGAAACATCAATAGTGGGTTGGGCAGTTTATGGTCACAATATTGATATTTAATATACAACAGACACCTACTAAAATGGAGGACTGGGTTCCTGGGTCTACCAGATGTGAATTACACTTGCCAAGAATTTATGGAAAAATTAATGGGTTTCTGGAAAATTCCTCCCTACCCTACCCCCCTCCTCTCCTACAGTAAAAAAAATATATTAAATCTAATATAGCTTAGCTCAACATTATAACAAAAATTAACCCTCGCCAAACTTGTGGAGAAACACAGACAGTTTTCTCTGCCGTTTAAATAAAGTTGGCCACTATTTTTTGCATGCAGTTTTTGTTTTGCAATTATATTAATAGTTTTATAAACTTATAATCTTTAAATACCTAATGTAAATGAATATGAATTTAAATTGTCCAAGTTCTTGATGTTTGTTGTGTAAGTTAATTGTTTGTAAAAAATAGTTGCCTGTCAATCACTCTGCTACGTTTGATTATTACTCAGTATTTACACTGAAGGTGAGAGGATGAAGAGTCTCAGGAGGTTGTAACAGGTACTGTAAATAAGTCTGCAATGCTACAGAGTTTGATTCCATATTCAAACAAACTGGCTTGCAGTATTAACTTAATTATATGCTATATGTCAAAAAAATGAAGCTTAATAATAATAATATAATAATAGTAGTAGTAGTAATGAAAATTATGATTATAATACAGTAATAATTTAAAAAATACAGTAGTATACATAGGTAAGTATATTTAATAGCGTTGTTACTTGTATTTTTGTAAAGTTCGTAATGCAGCATTTCAAGCAGATTTTAAGTTATTAAAATGGGGTACATGAATTATTTCAATGTGGTGTATAGCCCTTTCAGGGTCCGTGCCGTAAATCTACGGCTTTACGTTCAGGGTCCAAACCGTAGATCTACGCCATGAGCTCAGCTCACTCTGATAAGCTGTGAGCAGTAAATTTGGGCCTAGATATGAGAGAATTCTATGTGGTATGTGTGCACCGCATAAAACAAATCCTGCAGCACACAGTGCATAATGAGAGAAAAAAACTGAGACCGTAATTTTTGATTAAAACAGTGACTTTGCAGTGTTTTTTTGTATAGTTTTTATAGTTGTATTTGCAATTTCTTGGTCTCATTTGATAGAATGGAAGATATACTACAGGAATTGAGATGATTTTGATTGGTTTTAGTACTGGAAATGGCTTGAAACTGAGCTCAAAGTAGCAGAAATGTTAAATTTTTGCCAATGTTCAAGAGTAAACAAATGATCCCACATATCTAATACACGCCAGCTGATGGATCTAATATACATTCACAAATATAGTGATATTATTTACACAATTATTACAGTATTGCATAACAGTAAATCTTCTATTTTTTGGTTTGAATAAAAATTCATTATGTGAATAAAAAATCAAAATGGAATTCATTTGTAAAGCCTCAAAATGTAACTAATGAACAGAGGAAATGTTAGTTTAGTGCCAGAAATGCCTGCATTGTTTATTCTGGACCCTATTTTGAAATTGGAATATTTTGAAATCTGCATTAAATTGGCCAAATTACCAATTTCCGGTCACTTTATTTTGTTGTTGAAACAGTTGACTTGGTGATTTCTTGTGCTCAGTCGATAGAACAGAAGTGATACTAGTGAAATACCTAAGAATTTGGTTGACTGGAATAATGTAATTGACCTAAATTGGGAGTCAAAGTCGGCAAAATCGCCGATGCGTAAATATCGCTGACACGTCAAAATTCGTGAGAGCATAATTTCGTCAGTTTTCCATCAAATTCCATACTTTTTGTTTTATTACCTTCAGAAAAAGATTCTCTACCATTTTATAAGAAAAAATAGCAAAATTATTTTTTGAAAATTCTTGGACCCTGGTGCACACTTTGAAATTTGGCCTCTGAGCCCTGAAAGGGATAGTATTGTAGTTTATTTGTCATATAACTTAATTAAATCATTTCATTACATTGCAGATAATGAATGCAAATAAAAATGACTATTTTCTGGCACAGGCACTTCCCCCTCCCCGTACCTTATATGCTCGGGATCAGGAACAAGGGTAGGCTTTGGGTTGCTGCCAAGTGGTGGTATCAGTGCTGGGTACCAGTAAAATGAACTCCAGACAACTTTCCCACAAAACTATCTCAGATTAGAGTAACTTATAAATTATAATTTATATATTACCAGTGCCATCTTTAAACAACAGATAGTCATGTTTGTTTTCGTGGTTCGTACGGTGGAGCAAACAACAGGCTGCGTAGGCCAGAGTAAGACAGATTTTCTCCATAAAACTTTTTAACTTACAGTTGAATATTTGCTTCATTGAGAGCAGCATGAGGTAGCATACATCTGCTTAAGGACAAATGTGATGTGATTACTGATTCACTGCCATCACCAGTGGTGGTGTACTGGCATCTACTCTTATGCTCACCTTCAACTCACTAGGCCTAGCAAGTACTGCACTTTTTATTTTTCTCCCAGAATATGCCTGCCAAAATTGAGGTGTGCCTTATATGATCATGAACTTTATATGCCAGAACATACAATACTACAGTGTAATGCACTGTATACAATATTAATAATTGATTTATACTATTGCGTAATTCTCTTTAATTACATTTCTTTAACATTATGCAGTGCTTGTCTGCAGATGAAGGGTTTACAAGTACAGTAGTTTTACACTTTCACATAAATGAGTTGAGACATGATACAAAACTGTGTTAGGAAATTACTTACAGGGGAAATTATGATTCTTTTACAATTGATGAATATCATATAACTTTTTTTTAATTTATTTAAACTATTCCATAATTAGGAATTCTTTATTTACATAGTGTTTGAAATGACACAATATATTGTAGTACAAAGAATTTTAGATTCCACAAAGTGATACATAAAAAATGCAAAAACAAATTGCACTTCCTAAATTTCTTAGAATGTACCATAAATGTTTTCTAGTCTTTTTTGGACATGGAAACAAGCAGATGCTTCAGCTAGAAGTGTCCCCCCTTCAGATAGCCCAGTATACCAGACCCTGACACATGAGAGCTGTGAATGATATTGAAAGTCTTGATAAAAAATAGATAGGCATATTGATTATGAACATGGAAATCTATGGCATACAGTCTGTTGAAACATCTCAAGTTTTTATCTTAAAACTTTGAATCATTCAGAATTTGTAATTATTTTACTCCCTTCTATGCTCTGGTTTGAAAATTGCAATTGCTTGGCCTTGCTATCTAGTACAACTCCTCTACTGACTTGGAAAAGATGATATGTATTTGCCAGTGTTCACATATTGACGGCAGCTGATCACGGTAGCTAATACTCCGTGCCACATATTTGTACAGGTTTTGTAC